AAGTAGCGGGTTTTTATGGTCTGGGGACTTAGCGATTAGTTAATGTATTAAAGGAGACGTTTATGTATTTATTAATAAGTAAGGGATCAGTTATTATTTTAATAAAGCAAAGTTCTTCTAAGGGGTCTTTCTCCTCCTTAGGGCCTTTACGGCCTTTATTTATAATATTTTATATACATTTTCTTGGTCTATATTACCGTTATCTAAGACTATAATGATTACGACTATATTAGTGATTCCTCCATTACCGACTAAGTTACTTACTTCGCTCTTTTCGTCGGAAAGGACTTTTCCTACATTTCGGTCCTTTCTGATGATTTTGATTTTTCTAGCCGGGTCACCCTTATTTGGTTAGCCGTGTCACGTGGCACGTGACTTAGCCGGATAACAATATATAATATAATAACTACGATATAAATACAAAACTCAAGAAAATCTAGTAACTAGCTGGCCTCGCAAAGTCTACGATACTACAACATTTCCAAACTAAAAAAAAAGGAAGTCTAGTTGATCAGAAGCGCAGGAGACGCCCTCAAAGAATGAACTCCGGATTCTCGAGGATCTTGATCTGGTAGAAAGCCAAGGGATACTTCAATATTAACACGAAAGTCGGTTGCTAATTTTTTTTAATAAAAGTAGTCCGGGTCTATGTAATAGGTTCACGACCAGTTTAGCTATAAAAAAAGAGGGTATGTTCAAAAGCATATTAAATGGCAAAAAAAAAAAATTTAAATATTAAACTGTCTTTACTAATAAGTTTGGTTTCTAATCGTTCAATTATTTAGAAATATTGTAGGACAATTGCAAGATCTCAAATTGAAAATGGTGCTCAAGTTATAGATGTTAATATGGATGAAGGAATGTTCAATTGGAAAGCTGTGGTGACTAAATTTTTGAATTTAATTATTGTTTTTATGTTATTAAAAAATCATGATTCAATTCAATAACTTTTATTAATTTTAAATTTAGAATCCTATTATGGTAGACTCTTGCTATATTGGCTGGATTAAAATGTGTACAAGGAAAGTGCATAGTTAATAGTATCAGTTTGAAAGAAGGCGAAACTGAATTTATTAAAAAGGCAAAGATTATTCGAAGATTTGATGCTGGTGTTGTTTGTATGTAGTGATGGGGGAAATGCGCATTAATGCGTACGAAATGTTTCATGCGCATGATATCGCATGATAAAAAAAAGGCAAAAAAAAAGAAAAAACGATCGAGAGGAGAGAATTCTTGATGGGATAAAATGCGCATGAAACGGAATCATGCGCACGCATGAAACCCATCTCTATTTGTATGGCTGTAAGCTTCTTGACAAATAATTTATTGTATTTATTATACTGCATTGTTTTTTTTTCATGAATTTTTTTTAATACATACATATATATTTTTTTCTCACAAATTATTATTCCTCTCAATGAACAATAACGAATAATGACAGTTTGATGAGATAGGTAGGCCGATTTAAAAGATCGTAAGGTGGAAATATGCACAAGAACGTATAAGATCTTGACAGAAAAAGTTGGATTTGATTCTAATGATATTATTTTTGGTATTTTTATCAGATTCACTTTTTACATTATCATATTTGAATTAATTTAGGGAACTGATATTTCCACACCATATAAGATCCTGCCACACCCCCTGCATTCATTTAATCGGTGTTGCAAACAGAAACCGTAATTATTGATTTTCAGAAATTTCACTTTACAGGAACAAGATTATCAGATTCTGATATGCCTGTTATGTAAGAAAAAAATCAACAATTACTATTACAAAAACCATGCTTTCTCAATTTTAATGACGAAATTTAAAATTGCTAAGTCTAATAAATTGTATTTAACTCTTATTTATTATTTCTGCGCCTAATTCTTTGAGTTTAGTTTTTTGATAAACGAGATTTTGAGTTTTATTTAAATTCAATAGATTTATGTCAAGCTAACTTTACTCTCATTACTTAGTCTTTATCAGTGTTATGGGTAGATCCGACCCTAGGACCTTGAGGAAACGTTGCGTAACGACCCACGATCTGCACCATGAAAAACGTCGTACCACGATGCCCGCGACCCAAGACCGAACAAGTATTTCATTAAGTGACAGCGCCGATCCCATTGAAGACAAGCCACCCGCCCGATTTGGACAGGTAAAGTCTGTGGCCATGTCAATGTGTTGTCATATATTGAGTTGTGTGTTGTTGTGAAATGATAGGAAAAAATTTAAAGTAATGATGAATAAATTGTAAGAAAAAAAGAAAAGTGTTAGTAAATAAGAGAAAAATGGTCTATAACAATGAGAAAAAAGATATCAAAGTTGTTTTTCAAATTCTTTTTTTTTTTTTTGAGAATTCTCTATAAGAATGGTTTGCATTCTCTCTTGTAAAGTAATGTTTTCTTGATTTCTTAATGATAGTCCAAGAACCATCTTATATTGTATAGACCTGAATTATTTTTTTAAAATCATTCTAAAAAAAAAACAAATAAAGTTTTAATTAATAAAAAAATTTTAAATTATTATAAAACAAATAAATAATAAAATTCATACATTTCTTTAAACCATCTTACATTAATATCTAAATCTTTCTTTCATGATGTTCCCAAGGTTACCTTTGACTTATATCAAATCGAATTCATCTTACCTGCCTTGAGCAATGTTATGTAATATCAATGAATTTAAAATGACAATTCATCACATTCTTACTTGTTTCTAGTATCATTCCTGATTCAGGTTCTCATATCAATAGCCTTATTTCAAACTTACTATATAGAGTTTTTTATTCTTTAGTGACATTAATTAGAACAATATCAATAAGTTTTTGATATCTATAGTATATATTACATTAATCTGATATAATGTATATATATATATATATAATACATATGTACAGTATATATCTCAAGTCAAAAACTCTCCTCACTGATTCTCAATTCCAAAACAAGAAAAAACAAAATACAAAAATAACAGAAAAACTGGCTAGCAAACACCCTTTAGGCAACTAACAAAAAAGCTGTATTAAGAGGAAATACATATAATATAATAGAGGTTAGAAGACAAAGGAAGTTACATCAAGCTACTAAAATAAAACAGCAACTTTTTCAACAAGAAAAATTTGAATTTTTGGAGAATTCGCATTACTTTGAAAAAATGGAAAACAAAACATATGATAACTGTAGCAACAACAAACAACAACAAACAAACAAGTCTTGTACCAAATTAGGAAACAATAAGCAGTACAATAGAATTAGTAACATAGTACTAACAACATACTAACAAATATTACAAAACTCAATTCTAGATACTAATTAACCAAAAAAGAAAGATTCTGATCCAAATTTAGAATACAAACCAAAAAATGAAAATTGCAATGCAGTATCATATCTTATATTAGAGGAATAAAGGATAGAAATCGAAGACATGTAGACTGTAGAATTTTGGATCAAGTCTTTAAAACTCCTATACAGAACCCAAATAGTATAGAGCATATTATTAAAGAATTAGCAATATATGATCCAAAATATATTATGCTCCATGATATGTTAGTATATAGTCAAATACTAGAAATATTAAGAATAGCAAAAACAGGCTGGTTCAAAGAAGAAATAATCGATAAGTGGGCAGAAAAACTTAAGTTAATAAGCTTTAATCCAGAATTCTTTGAATATAATACAAACATAAACAAAGAACCAATATACCAAGAAAAAATAATGAGCAAGGACTAGAATCATTAGAAGAATGAATGAAAGGTCTCAGCATTACTATACCACATCATCAAGACACAAACATGGAAATAGAAGAATAAGAAGAAGAACCATTTCATAAAGAAACCAGCATCTCATTTCCTGCAAGTACAATCGAGTATAGTCGATGGTCTCCAGAAAACAGGATATGTAATAAGAACAAATCCTTCAAGACAAATATGTTAACATATGTTTTGCTAGATAAATCCAAAGAAGAAAGAATAAAGTATGTTCAGTGGATTCTAGAAAATAATCATCATATTAAAACAATCAAAGAAGTATTCAAAAATGAGAACAATTGGATAGAAGTAGATTTTGATTGTAAATATAGAAGAGATGTGATGAAAGACAGAATCAAGAAAAAAGAAGGTGAATGGTTCAAACTTATTCCAGAAGAGAATTAAAGTAAAAACCAGAAAACAGAACAGCAAAAGAAACACAATATTAAAAAAGAAGAGAAAGATATAAAACAAACAAGAGAAAATGAAGAACCAAGAAGAACAGAAGAAGCAAAGAAACAAGAAAAGGAAAAAGAAAGAAAACATGTTATGAAGAAAAGCAGTTTAATAGAAAACAGTAAAGACAAAGACAAAGAAAAAGAACTGCAAGAGAAAAAACAGATAACCATATGGGATCTATCACCAAATATTAATGAAAAAGAGATCAAATATATATGCAGAAAATTCAAGAACTTGGACATTGTATGAGTTAAAAAATCACTATACAAGGCCCTGGTAGTAATAGAAGCAAGCATAAAGAAAGAAAAAAACATTTCATGGTTGCTGCCACTTGGCAACAACAAATTAGCATGTATAACAATTGGAGATGAAGATTATAGCCAAAGAAACAAGCAAGGACAGTATACAGCCAAATTAGTAAACATTCCAAAAGAAGCCTCAGATGTACTTTTGTTACGATGCTTAAAAAACAAAGGTGCAAAAGCAGTATACATTCCATATAACAGAAATGGAAATCAAAAGAAGTTTGCAATAATTACTTTTGAGAATGCTCTAGTGGTAGAAGAAGCTCAAACAATACCAATATGGTACAACAACTACTGAGTGAGCTGGAAAAATCACAGAAAGAAGAAAGTACAAGAATAAAATGAATCAAGAGAAAGGAAACAAAAAGATCAAAAGTAGATAGCAAACAACAGAGACATCAAGACCTAGAAGCATAATGCAAGAAAGCTCAAATAAAAAATATGGTGAAATAGGCTTAGACCCACAAATACAAAATATAGAAGAATGGCTAGGAGATAGAAATACTAACATAGAAGTAAAAGAAGTTGATGTAAAAGAAAGAAAAACCAAAGCAGTCCTGCAAAACCAAACAAGAAAAGTACAAATAGAAGATGTATTGTGTCAAATTTTAGATAGGCTAGACAAAATTGAAGAAATGCAGCTAGGTATAAGAAGTGGCCTAGCTGTTCACTCCTAAGGGTGTTACAGTTGAACCAATGAATATTGACAAAGAGATCGAAGAGTTTTTACAAATTGAAAAGGAGGTGCTTAAAAAAAGAAAAGAAGTTAAGACTCCTTGTCAAAAAGAAAAAGTATATGATAGAAAAGAAAAAGAATCCAAGAGTGCAGAAACAAAACACAAGTCACTTAAAGAAAAATGGAAAGAATGAAAGAAGAAAATAAAACTAGCATGTCACAATGTGAATCGACTCAAGACCAAGGGTTGAAAACTAGAAAACTTGCTTGGCTGAGCAAAAGAAAAAGAAATTATAATACTAGGGATTACAAAAACAAACCTTATAGAAAGAGAAGAAAAGTTTCTAACATATATAATAGGCAAAAGATATATAAGGTTTTGGATAAATGTAGCTGAAAATAAGAAGAAAGGCTTGGGCATTGGAATTATAGTTAATAAATAATGAAAAAAGCATATAGGTGCAGTTAAAAAAATAAGTGAATATATGATAGAGATTACACTATACTTTAAACAATCAGAATAGGTTGTAATTACAGCATTATACTACCAAATGATAAGGTAGTAGAAAGAAACATTCAAAAAAAATTGTAAAAACAATCTTAAAAAGGAAGAGACAAATACAAATTATTATAATGGATGATTTTAATCACACAGCAGACAACATCCTAGACAGAAAACATCCACAAACAACAAACTACAAAAGGCTGACAATCTTCAATTGGATGAAGAAACAAGACTTCAGAGATATATATAGAGACATGAATCCAATAGGTTGACAAAACACATGGTCAAATGGAGAAGCAACAACAAGAATTGACTACATATGGATATCAGATGGGCTGGTCTCAGGTTTACAGAAGGCAAAAATTGAAAAGATAGAAGATATTCCAAAGAGTGACCACAAGATAGTAACAGCAAAAATATAGATCAAGCATATGATAGTA